TCCCTCGCCGCGGAGGGCCCATCGGCCTACCGCGAGCCGGAACTACTTCCTCCGCCTGCCCCGGGAAACAGATTTCCAGCGTTCTGGAAGGTCGCTCCGAGGCCTCAAAACCATAATCGGGTCCGGAGAGACGCGAGGACTTCTGCGTTGCCAGATGTAGGCGACGGGTCCCCCCGCGGGCTGGGGACTACTTTCTCTCGCGGCGGAGGGTTACATAGGAAGGGTATGTGACGTAACCGCTTGGTCCCTTCCCTGGGCCGCAGGGCTGGGCGTGGCGAAGGCGGGCCAGCTCTTCTGGGCGGGGCTCCCGGGGCCTGGCCACGCCCCCTGGGCTTGTCTGAAACGCGTGCGGCCCCAGGAGGTTTGGAATTGGCGGGAGAGCAGTTAATTCATTTTGCCTAGCTGTTTGCCGAACTTAATCGAGGTCCGCCCGGTTAGGTTTGATGTTCCCTGGGGGAGGGAAGCATGTAGTCCTTGTTATTCAGCTAGGGAAACTGAGGCCCGGAGATGGGAAAGGCTGGTCCCAAATCACAAGTTAAGGCGACTCGGGAGGCAAGTCCGAATAGGGAGGAGCTTACACCTGGCTCTTTGCGATCCTTGTGTACGCTTGTGACTGTAATTAACGTGGAGGTCTAGAACCCTCGTACATCTGTTGTCTCTGCAGGATGAAGGGAATGCAGGTACCTATAGCTTGCAGCCCTTCAGAAGAGGTATGCCCTTCCTCGGGATGCTCCAATACCATCTTACGTTTATGCCTTTTTAGTATTTTGTGGCGGAAAGCACTCAGAGAGGGAGTAAAGGGCCCGAGTTTTCTCTCTGCATTTCTGTGTTGCACACGCGGTTTTCCTCAACTAAAAAAAAAATACAGATTTCAGGAAAAAGAAACTCCCGGTACTGCTGTAGAGAAAATCTGTTTAAAGCTGACAAAGGGTGCAGCTAAGGTGGAGTAAGCTGGAGTATGCCCAGTGCAATGGCTGAGGCCGCGTGGGAAGCCCGGGTTAAATTCTTGTTCCAACCTTAACAGGCCAGGTGCAGTGATGCATTCCTGTGGTCCTAGCTGACTGGGAGACTGGGGCAGAAGGATTGCAAAGAGGAGAGACTGTCAAAAATACTTCTACCTGGGGCTGGCAGGTGGTGTGATGGTTAAAGGGCTGGGCTCCCACGTGGCTGATCACAGTTCAAATTCCAGACCTGGAGGCTTGCTTTCTCACTTTCCCTTTCTCTATCTCTCATGTCAAATTAAAAAAATAATAGGACCAGCAGATGGCGTAATGGTTATATTGCTTCACTCCCACGTAGTCAACCACAGTTCAAGTCCCAGACCCAGCAGCTTAAAACTCATGCTGTGGGTACCAGCAGGTGGCATGATGGTTAAGGCACTGGATGCTCCCACATGGCTGACCACAGTTCAAGTCCTGGACCTGGTGGCTTGTTTTCTCACCTCCTCTCTCTCTGTGTCTGTGTGTATCTCTCTGGTCAAATAAAAAATGAATGAATGAATAAATAAAGTTAAATAAATAATTTTAAAAAACAAAACAAAACATGCTGAGCATGTGAGCACCCGTACCCAAAATCCTGAGAGGAGAAGGGATTGTGGCATGGACATCCCTCCTGGAGGGTGATTTCTCTCTTTCTCTCTCTCTCTTTCTCTCTCTGTCTCTGGTGAGCACCCTCACCTTATAGTAAAAATTTCTTTAAAAAAATTTAAAAATAATAGTAATAACAAATGGAATTGAATAAATAAATAAATCTGAATCTTAAAAAATACTTCTCCCTTTCTCTCTTTTCCTCCCCCTCTATCAATAAAATAAATAAATAAATAAGAAGGGCCAGTTGGTGGTGTGATGGTTAAGGTGGCTGATTTTAGTCCTGGACTCAGCAACTTAGAAAACAGTCTGGGTACATGTGTATGCTCAAAATTCCAAGAGGAGCATGGAGAAGAAGGGATTGTGGTTTGGCCATCCCCTTGGCAGTTCTTTCTCACTTTCTCTTTCTCTCTCTGTCTCTCTCTCTCTAGCAAATATACTCACCATATGGCACATTGAAAAATAAAAGAACAAGGGTACTTTGAGCTGCTATTTATGTGCATCCGAGTTTGAGGGGGTTGGGTTTACCCAGTTCTTTCCAAGATAAAGTTTTCCTTTCCTAGGCTCCCTTTGGAAGGGGGCTGGAGGCTTCTGGATGTGTTAGGTGCCCGTCCCTGGCCCCCATCACACAGATCAGACCCCTAGAGCAGCCCTGGAGAGCTGAGCCAGCACTGGCAGAGTGGCAGGCTGGGTTTGCACTCCCCAGGGTATTTTCCAGTGTGGACCCAGTTCCTCAGCCCTACAGAGGCACCTCCCACCCCGACTCCATGCCACTAGGATGCAGCTTGTCTCTGACCAAGGCACCTCTCCCAACACGGTCAGGGTACTCGGGAGTGGTGCACAGGACCCATTCCTGTCCCAATCCAGCAAAGACTCACCCTAAACTTGGTCTTCATCACGATATCACCAGATCACAGAATGTCTTGCTACGCGAGGTGACAGGCTGCTCACGGAACAGAGGAGGAGCCCAAGGCTCAGAGGAAGCTCATGGTCCAGGTCTTACCGTTCCTTGGAAACATTTTAGGCTTTTTTATAAGACAGATCAGCTTTACAAGCAGGTCCCAGGGTTCTGCCCT